AATGTTAACTACTTGTAGGGCCTGTTTTCAGGAGTGACCATGTGGTACTGCCTTTACTTCTGCTCTCTTGGTAGGACGTTCACTGATGCCCACATAGTTCATTGGTGACGAAGCCTTTAGGATATATTATTCATACCAAATGGTTTGAAAAGACACGGAGGCAGAACTTTGAAAAGGGTGGCATTTTAAAAAGGAAGCCGCTCATTTAGATTTCACACCATGCACGTTGCGCTCGTCACTGAAGTAAGGGAAAGGTTCTGAAGTAACAGAATAGCATGGGTTTCTGATGCTATGAAGCGTCTCTCATTATAGCCAGGTTGAGTCAGAAGCTAGAAGCAGGCGTTCTCACCGCGGCTCGCGGATGACAATGTGAAGATGTGTAGATGTGCTGTCTTCCCTTCTTTGTCACATCAAAACGAGCTCAAGACACTTCCAGGTTCTCCTTCCTCAGTACCTACTTCATATTATCTTGCTTTCTTTCTAATACAACTTGCTGCATTTCCCAAAAAAGGGTAAAAATGGGGTTCACCACGTCCTTCTAAAGCACTACAAGTTTATCTGGAAAATTGTACACATGCTTCTTTACACATAAGTTTATTTCCCAGTGCCCCCCATACTCAGCAAGAATTAAAAAAGAAAAAGTTTTGTGAATCTATCCATTTCTAATAATCTCTTCCTATAATCCCACAGAAAAGGGATGCCGTTTCTTTCTACCATGGAGCAAGCAAGACAAGATAGCTCTATGAGCAGGAAGGAGAGCATCCAGAGCACTGTGTGTTCTGGATTCATGGAACCTGGGATGCCTGGATGCTGGAAATAAGATATACAAGGAGTTGGTGCACATTCTCAACTTTTCTCCTCGTAGCGACTACCATTTTCAGAGGAGTGCTCAGCTCCTCTGGGCAAAGGGCGGCGGGACTCCAAAGCTAGGAGCTAAGGAGAGAGGGGATCCAGAAATGGTGTGATTACACACACACACACACACACACACACACACACACACACACACACACACACACACACACGAGGCATGGGGGGCCAAAGCCTGCTTGAGCTGCACAGCAGGCGAGGGTGTTTCTAGAGCCTGAAGAGGCTGAGAGGAAAGGATGGACATGCTAGCGTAAGGGAGGACGCTGGAACGTGAGGAGAGAAGAGCAGATGGGGTAAAACATTGCTGGCTCATTCCCCTGGAGGCTTGTCTGCAGGTGCATGAGATAAGGGCCCCGTACAGAATGACTGCGCATCTTTATCTGTAGCCCAGCAAGGAAAGCCAACACTCCGGTGCGCTAACCCTGTGAACAAGCTTCTTTTCATCAGGGGGGAGGGGTGGGGAGTGGCACTTCGGGGTATACAAGATGGCTGTTTCGGCTGCTGGGCCATGGGGAACGCTGCTAACAGAACGTAACTCTAAATCAGGGGTGTTTATCCACCGTGGGAGCCACTGCAGGTCACGCTGTTTGCTTGGTGCCGCTTGGTCTGCCTCGCTGCTTCCCTGGACAGGAAGTCCTTAAGATTAAAGATTATATTTTTTTATGGTTGCATGCCTGCCTACTCCAAGCTATTAGATGAAGAGAAATGTGGCTAGAAGTCCATTTGCAGAGAGGATATTAACAACCATTTGTGTGTGTGACACAATGAAAAATCAGGGGAGGTCAAGGAGAGGCATAGGAGGAAGAAGGAGCCAAGTCGTGTTTGGGGTGTTGGGATATTCCTGTCGACCTTTCTCATTTGTTAAGTGCGTGGTTAAGACAAAACTGAGAAAGAACTTAGCATATCTGGATGTAGAGGGCTTAATCTTTCTTTCCACCGTTACCTTTCACAAGGCACCGTTTCTGCGAACATTACTATATCTGGCCAAATGGAAACAAGTAGATGTTTGTAAACCAAGCCTGCATGTGCCTGCAGGAGGGAAAGGCTGTTTGTCCCTCCCCTTCCCTCTCCCTCCCTCCCACTCCCTCCCCCTCCCCCACAGGCCCCACATCAATGTTGTAAACCAAGCCTGCATGTGCCTGCAGGAGGGAAAGGCTGTTTGTCCCTCCCCTTCCCTCCCCCTCCCTCCCACTCCCTCCCCTCCCTCCCCTCCCTCCCCCTCCCTCCCCCTCCCTCCCCTCCCTTCCCCTTCCTCCCCCTTCCTCCCTCTTCCTCCCCCTTCCTCCCCCTTCCTCCCCCTCCCTCCCCCTTCCCCACAGGCCCCACCTCAATGTTGTAAACAAAGCCTGCATGTGCCTGCAGGAGGGAAAGGCTGTTTCTCCCTCCCCCTCCCTCCCCCTCCCTCCCCCTCCCTCCCCCTCCCTCTCCCTCCCCCTTCCTCCCCCTCCATCCCCCTCCCCCACAGGCCCCACCTCAATGTTGGGGCTACCTCTGCTTCTTGGAAACCCAGTTTCTTCACACAAGCCTGATGGGTGAGGGATGGCTTGGCATTTTATAATCACGCCACTTGGGTTTATATTTTTGTATTTGATGTTTGTCAAAGTAAGGTAACAAGTGCAATGTATGAATGAATACCATTTTTTAAAAACCCTTAGCCTTTGAGAGAGAATTATTGTTGCTACAATAGGAAATTAATCTTTTCCCAACACATGCTGCTTTTATATTGTACTTAAGACACCTCACTCTGAAAATCAGCTTTGAGAGCTGGCTGGGATTTGGGGAGCTCTGGACATGTGCATGTGTACATGTATGTTGAGGTATTCACGTCATCTAGATAAAACGGTAATGACAGTGTCCACAAAGATGTCTTCAGACATTCGATGGCTTCTAATTTGCTGTTTACCCTCAGTGAATTGCAAAAACATCCAAATAATCATTAGCATGGGAAAGCAGCTTAATTAAATAACTCCTGTGTTTTATATTAAAGCAACTGATTTTGAACGTGTACCAGTAATTAGCCACATTGATTTAGGTATCATTAGAAAACTAGATGGTGAAAAGTTTGGCATAAATAAAAGATTTTTTTTCCTGAAAGGAATGTTGCAGTAGCTTCATGTTCTAAGCAGGAAAAACACTACAAGTTGAAAAAATATAACACCTGGGTTAGAAAGCATGATATATATATGTGTGTGTATATGTATATATGTATACATATATATGTATGTATATTTCAAAGGAAAAAATAATTTAAAGAGAGAACTTATGGATGTCCTCTTCGTTGTATAATAACCATAACTGTGTTCCATGTGTGTGTATTTGTAAGCGCCTGTGTATTAATCTGCCAATATGTGTACATATTATAAAGACATTGTTTAATTTGAGAGCCCTGTGGTGACTTGCTTAGTTTTGGCATGATTTCTTCAAACATCGGGGCAGTTACATTAGAGCTCCGGTCTACACACCTATGCTTGAGGGGCAAGTCTACCCCCAGGACGGTATGGTACATTTGCATCTTTTTTCTTCCTGCTGTTTTAAAACTACCCCACCCCTTCACTATAGACGATGCTCTTACAGGCCTCACACCATTCCCATCTGTTAGCGAACACCAGGATGCTAAATTTACCTGGGGCTTTACACTGTGAGAAGCAGTTCCGTGTGTGAAACTGCTCCCTGGGTCTTACGGGTTTCATCTGAGGATACCATCTTATCCATCACAGGGTACTGAACAGTGGAGCTTAAACACTGAAATATGGTCATTTCCTTAGGTTCTCCAAGTGCTCCCCCTTCCTCTCAGGCCACACAAAAGCCAATTTTGTCCTTATCTGACAGAGCTGAGAACGCCGGCTTTCCTGTTATTTTCCTCTTTTCTGTCTTGACAGAGATTATTTTTTCATAAACAGAAGTGAGTGTTCTACGCTAGGGTTGGAGCAGGTCGGATGGGCTAGGCCTAAGGCCGGTGACCATGGCTGTCAGGTCAACGGGCTGGCCACCATCGATGGGGTCTGCGGGTGAACCTGCCTGTGCTTAAAGAGAATGCTTGCTGCTGTGGGCAGGGTCGTCCTCACACCGTCAAGGACAGAGGTGCCCTCCCAGCTTCACGAAGCTAGCGAGATGTGAGGTCATTTCCCTGGCAAGCTGAAGGCTCTGTGTGCACCTGTCCGTGTGTTTTCACCCTTTATCTGAGAAAGGAGGCGAGCAATCACCTCCTTCTGCCCTCTCCTCTTTTCTTTCTTCTTCAAACACGATTAAAAAAAAAGACAAGTAAGGTGCCTGGTTCCGTAATGATCTGTGACCACTGTCTCTTAAGAGACGTCTCTAGTGTTCTGGGCAGATTTCTCACAGGTATCGATACGGGTGCGTGGACCCTGGCCACATCAGTGTGACTCCAGCCCCCCCAGACCTGAGGTTCTTGCCAGACCTGAAACGGAAGAGAAAGTACAGAGGCTTGGAGACAAAAAGTCTGGGAAATTTGTCAGCCTACTTGTATAAGTGAGACAAAATAAACTAGAGTGAGAAGAAAAAAAAAATCAACCGCACAAACTCTAACCCCCCAAAACCGAACCAAACCAAAACAAAAAAAAGTATTCAAACTAATTAAAATCTTAGGAGTCCCTGTCCGCATCAGAGTGGCTCCCATTGACACTTAGTAGTTAAGTCTGGACATTTGTTTTTAGGGCAGAAGTTCTGACAGCATAGAAACAGAACAATGGGCCCTGCTTAGGAGCTTGTGGACAGGCGCAGAGGGCATGCAGAAGTGCCCTTGGTTCTACTGAAGAAGCAGCTGCAGGTGGCTTCTAACCTGAGGCCACTCTCCGGAGTGGTCAGGCTTCAAGCCTTTCACTCTTGCCTGGACCGCTTGCTATTCACAGGGCAGAAGCTGGGCCTGTGCCTGTCCACCAAAGAAGCAGATGCCACGGTTGCCACCAGAAGCAGGGGCAAAACGAACCCAGTGGGCAAGGCATTCAGGATGGTGGCCAGACTCAGGGGAGACTTTTATTGCTGGTAATCCTTTTAGATCTCCAACACAGACTGATGGCCTTTATTTCGAAGCCATTGTCAACACAGATGCCGCTGGGTTTGGAATGCAGAGGCAGACAAATCCTGTTTGTATTTATACAGTTTATGCTTTTATTCTAAGAGACTCAACTGTGATGTTATCCACTCATTAAAAGCAATTACGGCGCACACACACGCAGGCTCAAGGATACACTCGTGATAAATATGCTTAGCTAAATGGCCATATCAGCATATGCATTTGTAAGTACACATATGCCTAACCCATTGTTAAGTGTGAATCTGCAGCCATGAGCGAAATTTCAAACATTTGAGCTTGTGAACCGCTTACCTCTTGATAGAGTGGTTGTGTAGCTAAGGGGGAAGGCTTGAGATTATTTTTATTTTAAGAAATGAAAGGCATGCCTGTATGATTTATTCTCTTGTTTGTGTGTCTGCTCCAAGACAGGGTCTCACTGTGTCATCTGGCTGGCGGAATCTCCCTGTCATCCAGGCTGGTTTCTGACTCGTGGGTGACCTTGCTGCCCATTTTCTAGCGTGCTGGAACTGCAGATGCATGCCGACATGCATGCCTGAGTTGCTTCTGTTAATCTGACGTGGTGGAAGGGCGATGGTTACCGGTCTTCCTCCATCTCGATCCAGAAGACCAGTCAGTGGGAGACGTGTCCCTCAGATATGAGGGTCTTGTGTGCGCTTTAGTGTCTTCCCTGGGAGCAGTGAGACACAGGGCTGTCGGCCCACACACTGCAGGCATTGTCAGCTCAGGTATCTATATGCCAGCCCTTACCTTTCACCCTGGAGTGTTTCAACTTCACATCTGTTCTGACTGGCTGGACCACCATCCCCAACCCCTGTCCTTGAAGTTGACTTTTCCACCCAGGACTCACTCCAGGGTCATCCTTTCCTCCTGTCGCCCCTTAGGCTGTTCCTTCCGAAACTAGAGGAACTCTATCAAACCTTGTGTACATTTTATTTTTGGTCTTTCATTCTCTGAGACACCTGAAGGTAGTGGCTGCATTTCTGGCCACCAGCATGCGCCAAGTCTGTCTTTGAACCTGATGTCAGCAGATGCTCCGCAGAAGTACACTGAGTAAAAGGTGAAGGGGGGTTTGCTGAAGGACAGGAAGCACATTGCAGGAGACAATGCTGTGTGGGACACGCTCAGGCCCAGCTTGCAGTTCTCCCCTTCTAAACCAAAGCTAACGAGTCCTGGTACCATCACAAGCCGAGGGCGGGTGGCTCAGCTCTCCCTAGCACGTACGTTTCTGAGGGCGGCCGTTATTAAATTTTTCAGGACACCAGAACTTCCCAAGAGAAAAATGACCAATAGGAATGTCCTCACAGTTCTGTATTACAAGAGTCTGGACAAGGCTATGCGGCCTCTGCTACCTCAGGAATCATCCCTCCTATGCCCCTTCAGGTTTCTTCCCGTAGCTCCAGGCGTCACCTGACTTGTGACCTGACTTGTGACTGTGCTGTTTCACTCTGTTTCCGTGTGTCATCGTGTGGCTCCTCCTCTCTGACAGCCTCTCCGCTGTGTAGTTTTAAGAGCCCGCCTAGAAGACACGGGTCCGTTTCTCCTTGAGATTCTTGTGTTAATTGCATCTGCAAGGCCCTGCTCGTGGACAGGGACACCATACAGATGAGGAGGGAAGAGCTGGAGCAGGCTGAGGGGAGATACTCAGGGGCCAGAGGAGCTGTTAGCTCTCTAGCCTCATTCTGCTTGACCTTACTTTGCAGGCACTGAGCTCGTAGCTTCCTCCCATGGCTTCAAGATGGCATGACCTTTCATCTCAGGATGGAATTTATGTCACAGTTGTCCCATGAGCACAGAGGTAGCACGAGGCATCGGGAGCTGTTCCTCTGCCTCCCCCTGTCTTGTTTGCAGCAAACTCTTGGTGGGAGAATGATAGCCTGGTCCCCGCGCCTCCATATGCTCAGCTACGAAGTTGCCAGGAAAGCAAGGGCAAAGACCTGCCACCCTGCAATCAGGATGACCCTGGGGTGTCAGGCAGAAAGACCATCTGCCAACCTGCCCTCCTAAGCTAAGGGATATCCCTGACATTGAGCTGCAGAGTGCTATGTTGAACCCAAACAAATTGTCTCTCTGGCTTAGCCTTTCCCTGCTTCTCGTTTGGTAGTCTGTATTAATTAAGTACAGCAAACCGAGCTGGTAGGATAGTTCAGCAGGTAAAGGCGTTTGCTGCCAAGTCCGAGGAAGAGCAGCTAAATTCTCTGGGACCCATACGGTGGAAGGAAAAAACTGACTCCTTCAGGCTGCCCCCTGACGTTTCCACACCCCGCATGTCTGAAGTGCTAGGGTAGTCAAAATTCCCGATTGTCTGCAGACCCATGTTCAGAAGGAAGACAGCCATAGAAACATTTATTCCAAATCACTGCACGGGGTGTGTAATTTTCTTAGACAACACCTACTTCTCTGAGCTCTTTTCCGTGGAGAACTGGACTGCCATAGTAAAGGAAGCCCGCTTACGTGTGTACCATGATGGACTTTTGTCATTCTATATACTCATGTGGCCAACTTGCAGATGAAGACTCTTCAGTAAAATTATCCCAGCACCTAGGAAGGAAGCATTAAAATTTGTCTCAATTAGATTGGCCTGTGGACATGTCTGTGAGGAATTGTCTTGACAGATGATTGACATGTGGGAGCCCAGCCCACTGTGGGTGGCACCATCTCTAGGCCCATGAGCTTAGGCTACTCAAGAAAGCTAGCTGAGTAAGAGCCAGTCAGTGAGCCAGTGGGCAGGCTTCAGTCAGGGTTTCTGCTTCAAGTTCCTGCCTTGAGCTCCTGCCCCGACCTTCCTCAGTGATTGGCTATTACCTAGCAGTGTAGTAGAACCTTTCTTCCACAAGTTGCTTTTTGATCATTGCATTCGTCATAGTGACAGAAAACTAACTAGAAGAAGATGAAAGAGTTGAGTTAGTATCTCAGGACACGTTTGCACTTACTGTCAACCAGATTCCCTGAATTTAAGGAATCTTGGTTAGAAATATTTACAAGGATCCAACCCATTAAACCAGGCATCCCTATGCATTGCTGATGATGTGACGGGGGCGTCTGTGTGTAGAGGGCCAGGATGTCTTCGCCATGAAAGCTTGGACTGCATGGCTGCTGGGTGGCCACTGACATATCTGTCTCAGTTTTCAAGATCAGCTGTGGAAATTTTCAAGTATATGCCTTACTCTCAAATAATTTTTCTCAAAGGAAACATCTTTCCCAGACAAAGGGATTTCTTTTGGGGCGGTGGGGGCAGGGAGACCTGTTCATCTTCCAAATGTATCAGGTCAGAAAAAAACAGGAAGCTAATACTACTAGAAGGTATCCATTTATGTGCAATACCCATTTTAACTAAAACCTTCAAACTTCTGTTACCCATTCACCAAGAATCAATTACCCAAATTGCTAGGAGGTAATTACACCTGTGGTTCCGACTTTCGTGACGGAGATGCAGACTTGCCAGAGAGAATGCTGAGGCAGATCATTCCAGTGACTGCTTCTCCTTACCAGTGGAGTAGCTACTAAATCCACATGTGTGCACGCATAACACACACATGCACAACACACACATACACACACATGCACAACACACTCACACCCACAAAGAGAGGGACAAGTCTCAGTCTGTGGTTGGGGTAAAGGGAGATAGTGATTGACCACACACACACACACACACACACACACACACACACACACACACACACACACACTAAGCCCTGAGAGCAACTAGGAGAGCATAGTTACAAGTGATAAAACAGACCCCATGTGGAGAGAAGGGAAATACCAGCAAGACCTGGAGTATTCAGAGACAGCATAGGGAATGTGGAACATGAGTGTCTAAGTCAGGGTTCTCTAGAGTAACAGAACTTATAGAATGAATATTTTCATATGAAATAAGTGTATACACAAGGGGGACTTGTTGGAATGACTTGCAGATTGTGGTCCTGCCCGTTCAACAATGGTTGCCTCTGAATGGAAGGCCCAAGAATCCAGTAACTGTTTGGTCCATGAGGGCGTCTAAGCTGGTCTTCAGTGTATGCCAGACTCCTGAAGAAGTAGACTCTAATGCCAGTGGAGGAATGGACTTGCTGGTGAGGTGAGAGCCAGCAGGCAAAGATGGAAGCTTCCTTCTTCCATGTCCTCATTTAGGCTGTCAGCAGAAGGGGTGGACCAGATTAGAGGTGGGTCATTCCATCCCAAAATATCCGGATTAAAGTGTTTTCCCACCTCAGAGACCCTGGTTAGACACACGTCTCCCCCACTTCAAATTAAGCCGTAATCCCTCACAGGTGGGCCCCATCTGGAGGTTTTAGTTAATGCCAGGTGTAGTTAAATTGACAACAAGAACAGCCACCACGAGTCTGTCCTGAAGAATCAGGAGAGTTTGTGGGAACCAAAGAAACAGCCAGGAAGCATGCGGATAGAGACAGTCTGTAGGAAATCGGGGAGAAGGATATAATGCAGGGCTCTGTGTTGCACATAGTGCAGCCAACTTGTATAATTCTTGGACTTCTTACTTGGAGGAGTAATCTTAACCTGGTTTTAGGGACACAGAAATATTTAAGTTCAGAATTAAGCCAGGATTTGACGAAACGGCCTTTCCATAGTTTTCTGGGTCAGTCATAATAAAGGGTTTCGGCAAAGTGGGATTGGGTTACTTGGAGCTTTGCAGCTACCACTGAAAATTATGCTGCTCTCATTCAAATTCCCTACTAAATTCCCTAACTCAGAGTTTTCTAAAGAAAAATCGATCTGTTTGAAATATGTGTATTTCTCCTTTGCTTTTCTTATTTCCAATAAAATCACACGTTCGCCATAAGAAGCATTAGAATCCTGGGTAGAAGAATTTACCCTTGAACTATTCACCTCAGGACTGGGTTTGGGAATCACATCACAGCTTGAGTCTCTCAGCTCTGTTTGTGGTCTGTTGGTGTCAAAAGCATACCTCTCTTAGAAGGGCTGGAGGGAGGGAGTCCGAAGAGAGGAAGGAATACTCATGAGAACTCACAAGGTTCTTTACAGTTCTTTCCTAGAATAACCTGCATTAAATATGGCTCTCTTGGATTTACAGACTAGAAAGCCCAGGCTAAAGTTTAGGACTATGCACTAATAAGGTTGCAGCTGGAGTCTCCAGAATGGCCTCTGGCTCTTCGGGACTGGGATCTCTTAGTCACCATCCCTGTTTAGACCACAGCAATATGAATCTTAATTGGACTCAGAACCTTTTGTCACTGTGACAAAATACCCAACAAAAACGATTTAAGAGAAGGATTTCTTTTGGCTTATATGCTGAAAGTGTAGGTCATCGTGAGAGGGAGACAGAGGAACAAAGAGTTTAAGGTCACATTGCATCGTCAGGAAGAAAGTGGAGAGAGATGAAAGCTGGCACTCAGCAGAATTTCTCTGGTCTTCCTTTTCTTTGGGCCAGGGGTTCAGGATCCCACGCCCAGGGTAGTATGGTGCCCCTCACATTCAGGGTAGTGGGATTTCCTTATCAGTTAACCCTCTTGGAAGCTCCCACAAGAAAGTGCTCACAGCTGTGTATTTTCCAGTCAAATTGACCATGAAGACTTACCATCCCTCCCTCCGTCTGTCCTTCCTCCTTCTCTCTCTCTCTCTCTCTCTCTCTCTCTCTCTCTCTCTCTCTCTCTCCCTCCCTCCCTCCCTCCCTCCCTCCCTCCCTCCCTCTCTCTCTCTCTCTCTCTCTCTTTCTCTCTCTCTCTCTCTCTTCCTGCTCCTTTAGATCAAGATGTAGACCTCTCAGCTACCTCTCTAGCACTATGTCTGCCATATGCTGTCCCCACCATGAAGACAATTGACTGAATCGTAAGCCAGTCCCAGTGAAAGATTTTCCTTTGTAAGAGTTGCCGTGGCCATGGCATCTCGTCACAGCAATAGAACACTGACTACGACACTGGCCTACCTCTTGTCAACCTGACACTGAAATATCATCTTGTTATTATTTGTTTAATTTAGTCTTCTCTCATACAATACATCCAGACTACAGTTCCCTCCCCCTTCCCCTGCCCCCCCTTCTTCCAATTCATTTCACCTCTGGGTCCCCAAACCTCAGAGACATCTCATGACACAAAATGCAGTTATCCCGACTTTAAGCCTCCACAGACTTAGCAGTTTTAGTTTTTAAAAAATGCAAAGCCTCTCCTAAGATCTAACATGTTCTTAACTGTGAGGCTCTGTAAAATAAAGGCTAAGTTACGTGTGTCTAATATGTGGTGTTGCCTTGTTGGCGTTCTAGTTCTGAGGACAGCAAGGAAAGACTGGACCAAGGCAAGACTGAAACTTAGTAGGATAAACAGGTCAACCTTGCCACTCCCTACCTAGCATCTGGGCCTTGGAGCAGCAGCATCTGGGTTCCAGCAGCTTGGGAAGTCCCTCCCTTCCATCTCTGTCTCCTGGAGAACACATAGCTTGTCTCTTAACTGACCCCATTGCCCCTGCAGGGTTTTTTGCTTGTTTGCTTTGATTATTTTTTTGGTAGGCATCCCACAGTTCTGGCATCTTCAGTAGCCTGGGATTTCTACTGTCTTCTATTCACCTTCACGGCTTAACCCAATGACCTCTTGGTGTCTCCGTCAGAGCATCTGACCCTGCCATCCATTGTCTGGCCTTGAGGGCTTTCTAGAATCTTGGTGCAGTCATCCATGACCTTGTAACTCTTGCATTTTGCACACCTGCAAGACCAGTACTATGTGGGCAATGATGCTAAGTTCTTCCCGCCAGCTTGAGATTTGGCCTGGCCAACTGTAGTGGCCTCTGTGTGATTTGTAGCTGTACCCGGCATAACTGCTCCCCTGCAGTGGTTGTATTCGATCATAAAATACCTTTGGAGACATTCTCGGTTCAGCACATCTTTTCAAATGAGTTTGTATTTTACAGCATGGAGCCTTCAGTTGGGTAGTGTCTTCTCTCTAGGCAATTTTGTTGTCCTAGTACAAAAAGTAAGTTTCTGGCCTTGAACTCATAGAGATCCTCCCCCACCTCTGTTTTCTGAGTGCTGGAATTAAAGGTACACATTGCCATGCCTGGCTAGTATTAGTTTTTTAAAGAGTCTATTTATTTTTATTTCAATTTCATGTATGTGAGTGTTTTGTCTCCACGTATGTCTGTGTATTGCATGCATGCACTGTCCATGGAGGCCAGAAGATGGTGTCAGTTTCTCCAGAACTGGAGTTACAGAGGGCTGTGAGCTGTCATGTGGGAGCTGGGAACCTAACCTGGTTCCTCTAGAAGAGCACCCAATGCTCCTAACTGCTGAGTCAGTTGAGGTGTAATTAATTCTTTCTCTTCTTTATTAATTTATTCTTGTGACCTAGACGTGCCAACAGGAATAGAAAACAGACCCTGGGACAGACAGCATGAGTCGGCCATGCTAAGAGAGGACGGGCTGGGGAATTCGGACAGATGAGCAGTCTTGGGGGTTGCAGAGGCCAGGCATGGAGGGGACATTCCTGCCTCCTTCCCCAGGAGAGTCTTTGGGAATTGTGACCAGCCAGGCTCTCTACAACCTCTGCTCTGGCTCTCTGGCCCAAGGTGTCCTATGTAGATGACAGAAGGGACCTTCCTCTTGTGGAAAAGGGGAGCAGTGTCCTGAGGTACTTCCCAGATGAACATCACCTGGGAAGATGACTGTAATTTCTTCATGTCCATGAGGAGGCCCTGGGCTCTGCTTCTTGCAAGGGCCCCCGAGCCATTTGCGAGTCCCAGGTGCCACCAAAAGCACTCTCCTCAGCAGTGGAAGAGACTGGATTTTGTTCCTGGCTTGGATGCTAAGTAAGTGCAGGATTTGGCTAGCTCTTAGTGTAATGGAGCTTCAACTTTCTGTAGAAAGGGAGGGTTGGGCTTCAGTAGGTTTTAAAATTGCTTCCAACTTTAATATTCCACACTGCGTAAAACAGGTTTTGGGGTCTGTAACTCACTTATGAAAGGGATGGGACTGAGCAGAGGCAGCCGGGAGAGAGTGATAGTTACAGAGTAAGGAGTGGAGGCAGGCACAGCTTCACAGTTTCCAGTTTAGGCTACAGAACTGGCTCTCTGTTCTGCTCCAGCACAGCTTCCAAGACGGGACCACATCAGCTTGCATGTATTCGCCATTGATGAACTGTCGGGTCGTACAACCTTGCTTTTTCTCACAAGTGTTCAAGGACTACAAAGGCAGCCTCCCCCATACACTGGACACAGAGAAGTGCGGGTTCTTGCTAAAGAAAGACTATGAATTTCCAAGAGTGACTTAAGAAACGCTGCCTTGTGTCCCTACCCCACCTCCCACCGCATCCTCTGGACTTTTGTGGCTCCAGGTGTGACAAGACAACAGATTTCTCAACTAGTTTGGTGTGTACCTGCAGTTTTACTAAGATACCCAGGCACTCTGCAGCAGAGGCAGGGGAGCACCCTTCGCTGCATCACAGCCAGAGGAGCACAGTTCAGTGCAGCAGAGCTAGGGGAGCACAGTTCACTACAGCGGAGGCAGGGGAGCACTGTTCACTGCAGCAGAGCCAGGGGAGCACAGTTCACTACAGCGGAGGCAGGGGAGCACTGTTCACTGCAGCAGAGCCAGGGGAGCACAGTTCACTATAGCGGAGGCAAGGGGAGCACTGTTCACTGCAGCAGAGCCAGGGGAGCACTATTCACTGCAGCAGAGGCAAGGGGAGCACAGTTCACTGCAGCAGAGCCAGGGGAGCACTATTCACTGCAGCAGAGCCAGGGGAGCACTATTCACTGCAGCAGAGGCAAGGGGAGCACCGTTCACTGCAGCAGAGTCAGAGGGGCACTGTTCACTGCAGCACAGGCAGGGAGCACCACTCACTTACCCGTGAGCAGCCACCAAGGGTTACATTTGGCTTTGTTTGAAGGGACCGGGTGACCTTATCACTTCTGTTTGAAGAAGCACCCACTGGAGCACACACAGAAGTGGGGGAGGCTGGGGAGACCCTGGGGGGTGGGGGAGGGAACCATGAGTCTCGTTCCCGGCTGCTGTCCTTACTTGGTCACTTGAGAGGCCTCTGGGCTGATTGATCTGTGGTTTGGATGCGGGCTCCTGGCAGGACCCTGGAGTCTGCGCGTGTCACGCATGGCTGACATTCAAGCAGTACACTCCCTAGGCGAACAATGAATAGGTGGATACTAATTGGTTTGTTCCAGCACATCTTCCCAGGAAGTGTGGCAGACGCTCAGTTTCCAGTGGCCAGGAGGCAAGCGTGGCATGCTCGAGAGAAGCCGTCAAAAAGGAAAACCGCTTTCACTGATTCCTGTCCAGGTTCTTCCAGAGCAGAAGAACGAGGGGCTCCTTAAAGCCAGGACTGGCTCCCGCCGGTGTGAGATCTGCAAGAGAGATGGGCAGGGGATATGAGACCTGGCGTTCTGCCGCCGGCCTGTTATTTTAAGAACTGGAGGGAAGAGGCTGGGAAAGGCTGGGTTTCTTGGCCTGTGCAGGATAGTGATTACAGATGCTTAGGGGAAACTGGGAAAGACCCTACTTGAAAGAAAGCTGTATACGTGGAAACCTGAACTTCTCCCTCAAAAGCTTAAGTCTTCTGCAACCCAGCCCTGAGCAATGGCTGTCACAAGATCCACTGTAGTTCATTGCAAAGCAGAAGGGCCATACAGTTTTGGGTCATTTTTACCAAGGCAATGGATAACCCATTGGGTAGGCCGATTCCCCTGAAAGGATGGACTGCCTGAGAGTCAGGCAGAGGTCGCTGCTGGTGATGCTAGCAGCCATCATCATGAGGTACAAAACGACCAGAGACGGAGATCGACTCACCCAGGGCAATGACAAACCGTATTTTGAGTTGTCTAACTTGATTCTGACAGATTGTGTTTCTGCTTCCAACCCACTGGTAAAGGTGAAGCCCCAGGAAAGAACAGATTCGGTGTTCTGTCTTAAAAGGATGTTTACACGTGTGTTTACATATCCGTGTGAGCATGTGCGTGACATTCACATGTGTAGGTCAGAGGACAACCCGCTCTTCCTCCCCACGATGTGAGATAAACCCCATGTGCAGCTGCCCTCACAACCGAGCTATCTCCCTGGCCCCAAATTGGCTCAGGATTCCTCATGGTTTGTCTCCCCACCCCACACCCAACTAACTGCTGCTTCCCTGACTTCAGGTCTGTTCCTCAGCACCCACACGGGGTTCGTTTTCCTTCCCAGCCCTCTGTGCACTGATTATTGTTTGAGTTGCTTCCATGCTTTCTAACCCTTCTCTCCCCCAGATGTTCTTCTGCTCTTATTTGTTCTAAGCACTGTCTGTACACGGCAGCTTTGGTGCAAACTCAAGGCTCCAGCTTCATAGGGAGCTTGGACCAGCAGCCCCCGCACAAGATTCAGTAGTTCCTGCCTCCAGGTTCCTGCCCTGTTTGGGTTCCTGTCCTGACTTCCTTTGATGACGAACAGAGATGTGGAAGCATCAGCCAAATAAACCCTGTCCTCAGGTGTTTTCATCACAGCAGTAGAAGCCCTACCTAGAACAGCAGGGAAGGCCACACTGTCCTACTAGTAACACCTATGGTTGCTACGGTGGCTAAACTCGGCTTTTGGAAATGCCATTTTTCCCCCTCTAATCCAATCACCACACATTTCTGGGTACCCATCACACTTTAGGATCTGTCCCCATTGCCAAGGGTGAAAGACTGAGCCACACAGAATATGTCATATACACTCTCCTGTTTCCCCAGGCACTAACCCTTGGTCCTTTGCTCACATGGAGGTAGTCATTGCCTACCCCTGCCCCTGACCTTGGGCAGCCCCACTGCAAGTTGGCTCTTCTGGAGCATGGTCTGCCAACACACTCGAACAACTCCTGTTCCAGTACTCCAAAACATGGCTGGAGAAATCTCTCCCAGGCCCTGTAGCTTTCTTTACCGATTGGGTCCAGAGGTGTCCACTGCTTTGCAGATGCGAATGAAGACCTTAAGATACCCAGATTGCTCAGAGTAATTTATCCAGGTGGGTGCCGAGTGTAGACACATCTCTTCATAAAGTGGAATCAGAGGGCGATCCGACGGCACATGTAAACAGAGAGCAGGAGTCTGCATGACCAAAGATGCAGGGACAGGAATCATGGAGTCTCTAAACCTGGGATGGGTATGCAAAGCTACTGGAGGATCCCCTCGGCCAACGCAGAAGTCTTTCCCAGACCATCAGACAAGAGCTGGCTCTGTTTGCACCATGAGCTCAGCTCCAGAGACTCCTTTCAAACCTCGGCTTCTAAAACCGTCACTGGGCGGTGTTTCCTTAAGGCTGGGTCTGGAAACCGCTCCCTCTTGTTATCCATTGACTATTAATTAGTCCACTCTCTGCACACCCTCTTCTTTGAGGTTCCTGCCCTCAGGTCCCACCTCTTGAGCCTTTTCTGTCCATTGTTAATGACCGTGATTCCAAATGACTACCCTCACATCACTGCACACTCCAGCTTCTGACTCACACCTCCCCGCCTTGAATCCCGCCGTCGTCCCGTGGCTTTCCCAGACAGGGAGATGTCCAGCCCCTTAGCTAGAATTTGCGTTGCTAGGCTCCTCAGACTCCACAAAGATCCCTCCACTTGGCTTCATAGTGTACTTCCACAAGCTCATCCTTGGCACTCAAAATTATCACATGCTCTGAGTCTTGGACTCCATCTGCCTCGCCCAACTCCTCCTTCCTTTCTTTTCTTGGGACACTTTGGGTGACACCACAGGCCAGTGAACCACAGGAAGACCCACGATAGCCATCAGTCTGCAGGTCCCCAGCTCTCCCATCTGCTTGGTTTTTGTTTTTTTCAGTAGAAGCTGGAATGAAAACGTCTAACCTCAGACCAGCTAAGTCAGATGCCAACATCTCCTTCACTCAATAACACGCGTGTCCTCTGCAATTTCAGTTGGTCTCCCCGTGGTCCTTCCTTTGTTCCCTCAACACCTGTAGCCTTCATGACACCATGTTTGTCTTTTCTGGAAGTTTCTAAGTGAACTTCAATTCTCTCCACAGAGCCAGGAAGGAAGAGTTCAGTGCCTTATTGCACTGTCAATATTTCGTTCCTTCGTCAGTTAATTTGTTAGTTGCTCATTACCTATAGCTGCTCCTGCTTCTTTTCATTGTTTCAAAACTGTTAAGTGAAGCTTTTTCTTTTGCTAGCCGCTTTGGTTTATCCCCTGCCAGTCGCCTGGGCTCTGCCACTCCAGCCTGGTTCTAGAGCCGCATCAGTCCCAAATAAACACACAGGAGGCTATATTCATTATGAAGCTGTTGGCCTTGCTTGTTTCTAACTGGCTAGCTCTGACTTAAGTAATTACCCCATAATTGTTAATCTAAGTATGTCTCTTACCAGAGAGGTTTCCAGGCTTCCTACCCCAATGGCGGTTACATCTCGAACTCCTCTGTATTTCTCCTTCCCAGAATCCTCCTGGACTCCTAGCCCCACCTATCTAGATTCCTATTGGCCAGACAGTCTTTATTGACAAATGCACAGGACTTCCCCCAACACAAAACACCAGACTACTTCATTTTATGTTAAAATGTCAAGTTAAAACAGTCTTCTTGGGGTTGTAGAGAGGGCTCAATGGTTAAGAACACTAACTCTCCTTGCAGAGAACCCAGGGCTGAGTCCCAGCACACACATGGCTGCTCACTCATCCATCCATTACTCCGGTTCCAGGGTATCATATGCCCTCTTCTGGCCTCTGTAGGCACACACACACACACACACATATGCCGGCAAACATTTACACACATATACTTACAAAAATGTTCTTTTGTGTGTGTGTGTGTGTGTGTGTGTGTGTGTGTGTGTGTTCATTGCACATGAGATTTTGGAGCCTACCATAGGGTTTAAGATTAAATGAAATACAGACAGTCAGGTTCCCCAAAGTAGTTGACTATCCTGGCAAGTCCTCTGGCCTTTCTCATCAGTTAATGAACAAGTATGCTGGCTAGTTTTAAATTATGGTGTGTGTGTGTGTGTGTGTGTGTGTGTGTGTGTGTGTGTGTTTCCTTATTCATGCTCACATATGTGAAAGTCAGAGAACCATGTGGGGGTCTGGGGAATCATTTCGGTGTCTGCCAGGTTTGGTGGCAAGGGCCTTTATCCATTGAGCCATCTTGTCTACCCAGTCATGGTTTTCAACACCCGCTTTGTATTTGCACTCCTCCATTCTCCTGTCAGCCTGTCCTTCCTTTCTGGAGCTAGCATGACATGTGATGTTTTGCAAATCCTACATGGTTGAGTCAGAATTTACTTTCTCTGTTGCTCTCCTGTCTTCTGGAATGCAGCTGACCCTCACTCTGTCTGGTCAAGAGAATCCCCTATTGAACCTTCCTCAGTGACTTTGAAAGCTGCAGATGGAAGAATGGCAACCACTGCTTTGCACAAAGTTCCCTTGGACTGTCAAAAGAAACAATGTTATCAGACACGGTGAGCCACTGAAGCAATCCTGGACCGGGACAACCGTCAGCAGCCTCCATATTTCAGCTGGAAAGAAAGGATGGGGAGAAACTTGGAATCCTGATAAGACAATTCGAACTCATGAGCTCTCCATCTTATTTATGTTCTTTAGATTCAGTTTCTAAAATGTAACAATGAACGGTGGCTCAACATTTTCTAAGTTTCTTTTGCCAACTTCTATTGATATATTTGTCAGAAGAGCCTGATTTTTTCTTAAAAATATATATTGCAAGAAATGAGCTTACCCATCAGATAGGGTCAAAGATGTCTCTGTCAGATTTCCATTATATATATATATATATATATATATATATATATATATATATATATTAGGCTATGAGCAACTGATTATTCAATGTACTTTAGGAATTGTTATTCCTTTTAACTAAGACCTTGCTGTTCACAATGACACTGCAGTATACCTTTTTATATTTTGTTAACATTATTTAGGTAATATTTATCATAGCTTGTTGATAGGCATTTCTGGAAAGGGAATAAAGAAAATTTGCTGGACAATGGCAAAAAACTCATTTTCTAAGAATTCATCTATAATTGCAAACAATATTTTATTTATTGTTTGAGGATTTCAGCCATGTGTATATTTTTCTCTCGTATAGCTGGATTCTAGCTTCAAATGTTTTGTTTTGGTGTGTAACCGTTAGTACATATGGAAGCCAGGAAACTAAAATGGCTCCATTTGGCGGAGGGGGCGTGCTTTAAGGGAAGGGAGGATGACAGAAAGGATGTGGATGAAAATAGAGAGGAGGGACAAGGGGGGAAAAGGTTAAACAGCTATGGGGAAATGAGGGAGTTGGGGAGAAGATTAATACAAAGGAAAGGTATGTGGAAAAGTCATAAGGCATCCTACTCTCTTGCAATCTAATTAAAAATATTCCTGGAAGGGTGCTGTTTGGGTACTTTCCTAATGCTGTGATAAAACGCCACGGCCAAGGAAACTTACAGAGGCAAGAGTTTCTTTGGGCCTATGCTTCCAGAGGGCTACAGTCCATGATGGCAGAATGTAGGCCTGGCAACAGGAACAGGAAACTTAGGGATCCCATCTTGAACCACAAGTATGAAGCAAACAGAAAAAGAAAATTGAAACTGCTGTGTGAGTCTTTAAACTTGAAACTGCCAACTCCCGTCTCCAGTGACATAGTCCAACAGGGTTACACCTCCTAAATCTCCCACACAGTGCCACCAACTGAAGTGTTCAAATGCTGGAGACGATGAAGGGGCATTTCTCGTTCAACCCAAGGCAGAATCTAATGAAAGAAGAGAGAGGGCCTGGGGTAGGGATATTAAAAGTGTGAGCAGGGGTGGGATGGGGGTATAGAAGACATGGGTCAGGAATGAGTTAACCAAAACTATGGCTGTATGAGAAATCCTTGTGTAATTTTCAATAATCTGTTTCAGTTTTATTTAATCTACCCGCTAATGGTCACCTCCCCACCCCACCCCCAATTTTCTCCAGTGCCCAGAGTTCCTCAAAGATTAGGTGGCTCAAATTTAATTTTTAACTAACTGAATCAAAGATTTACATACAGTGTAACTCCCCCTTAGCCCTTAGAGTGTCTGGATCTGGCTTTATCATGCCCTCATCTATCGATTTTCTCCTAAGCATGTTGATTCTTTGTCATTGTGAAACTGGCCTCACTGAGAGTCAACACAGGATTTGAGACACTCACCTTTTCCAATCTGTAGTCCAAGTTCACACACAAAGTCAAGAACTTAAACATATCTTACTTCTGGCTTCCTCGCAAACATCAACGAAGCTTTGCAATATTCCCTTCAACTTTCTTCCCCTAATATCGTCCCTTTTGTTAATATTTTGATTAACTATTTTTTATATTAGTGTCTTTCAAAGCACAGGGCACTAACTCTATAGACGGTCACCAGGTTTACAAGGGGACGCCACGTTTCCTGTTTAGATATCTTGAGGGGAGGCAGTTTTGAGTTAGACTGAGTTAAAACGAAATGCTTTGAAACCTAGCTAATTGTGTGGCTTTAACTTGTCTATAATTTACTGCTTTCCGTTGTATTGTATTAGCCCCAAATTTCATGGACTATACAAATTACAGCATCTCTAATGTATGAAATTAAATGCCCCTTTAATGTATTTGAAATGCATATATGGCCTGTTTCCATTTCAAGCATTTTTTTTTTCAACACAGCATTCTATGTGAGATTCTCAGGCATGGGCACTAACCTAAAATGAGGCAGCAGAGGAGAATCGCTTGTTACAAGATTAAAGTAGTTTTCTTTATGGCATTCACACACCTTTAATAACATGTGTGAGCTCAAGGATACTCAGTGATAAATTGTAATGAGATGGCTGAGTTTCCAGCTCAGAATGCAGTTGGCAAATGTTAAATCAGAAAGTACCAGGAGCTGAAATTTACCTTTGATGCTAATCCCCAGGGATCCAGCATCAGGTAAGAGTCAAAAGTCGAATGGCAGTCAAGTCCAAAGGCCTCATATCTCACAGCTATTACTAGACTAGACACTTCGGCTGGCTTGATTTTTTTTCCTATTAGAGTCGTTTCAAGTAAACAAAGAGAAATATCTCCTAAAT